TGTAACTAGCAATAAAAATGAGTTTCATTCGGAAGAGGGTTTACTAGTAACATGTAGGATTTGAGTTCATCAAACCTTTCTTGATAGCTATCCACACTTCCAGTTTGCTTGTTATTGTTGAACTCATCAACAATGTCAATGGGTCTGACATTTCCAAATCTTCGACATACCTCGGTACAAAACAGAGGCCAGTTGGTACCCCTTTTTTCCAAGATGTAGCTATCAAACCATATGTCTGCTTTATCCTTCATGTGTACAGATACATAACTTATTTTACTCTGTTCCGGAATTTGATAGATCTCAAAAAACTGCTCACACTTCCTTATCCAACCTCTGGGATTGAATCTTGTGAACTCCGGAAAATTGATTTTTGCTTTAAAAGGTTTTGTAGGTGATTCTGGAGGAGTAGCGGTAGCAATTGCAGGTAAGGAAAATAAAGGGGGTTCAAGGTGGTTAAAGTAGTAGTGGGCAATGGAACAGTACTTGTAATGGTAGGAGTAATAGGGGAGGCTGGAAAAGATAGGGATGTGAAGATTGTGGTCGGTGAGCACCGATTAGGCAAAACAGGAGGAAAAGTGAAGCCCCTTCCTATAGGGTAACTCGTAGGAGTCGAAAATGGAGTTACCTGAGCTCGAGAGTTTGATGCATGTCCAGATTCACGGATAACTACTGGTCCTGGAGCTTCCGACATTGTAAATCTGGGAGATGGAGGTTGAGCAGCAGCTCCTGCGATCTTTACTGCATCAAGTTGAGATATGATGAGTTCAAGCTTCTTATTAGTCTCCTGGGTCTCGCGCAGCTCCAAGGAGAAATGATTCTGGTTGGATTCAAGGCTCTCAAATCGTTGGGCATTATCAGTTGCCATAGCTTGAAGTTGGGTTTCGAGCTTTTTCATACCATCTTCAAGTCCTTTGAATTTTTGATTTTCCTCTACTGCCGAGCTTTCTGCAGAATCGTGCCGCTCTGATGCCATTGTCATGAGCTGAGCTATAGAAGAGCTCAGTCGTGAAGAAACAGAATTTGAGAGAAGAGAAGAGAGGAAGAAGGAGAGAGAGAGAGAGAGAGAGAGAGAAACTAGATAATATTTCTGATAAAATCTGAAAATGAGTACATTGTGAGCATATAAGGAAACCAACCTAGGATTCCCTATTCTAACGGCATACTAGCCACGTGTCTCTAATATCCAGTAATTGCAAAAGGGACCAACTACAAATATAGAAATTAAAATGGACTTAACTAAAAATAGTACTAAACTTAGGACTTGCCACGAATTACAACATTAGCTAGTTTATTTCTTGACAATCCTTCCTCCTTTTGGGAACCTTGTCCTCAAGGTTCGAAGTTTGGAAACTGAGATTTGATGAAGTTGTAATCTTCCCAAGTGGCTTCTTCCGGCAGCAAATTAGCCCACTGCACTAAGACTTGCGCAACTGAAGCATTCCCTTTCTTCACTATTCTTCTATCTAAAATTGCCACAGGTTCCAAAAGAGGCTGGCCATTATCCGAACACACTGGAGGGTCAATGGAAGGAACCACATGCGAGCCTATCTTTCTTCAATTGAGAGATATGGAACACAGGGTGAATCATTGCAGAAGCAGGGAGCTGAAGTTCATAGGCAACTTGACTGATCTTCTTGATCACTTGGTAGGGGCCATAGTACTTGGATGTCAGCTTCAAGTTGCTCCTTAGAGCAATGGAAGCTTGCTTATAGGGCTGCAATTTGAGATACACCCAATCACCAAGTTCTAACTCCCTTTCAGTTCTTTTCCTATCAGCATAGAACTTCATTCTGTGTTGTGCCTTCTCCAGATTCTCCATCAAAACTTTTGTCATAATTTATCTTTCTTGTAGCCATTGATCAACTGCAGCAACTTTAGACTGAGACACCAACTCAAATGTCAATTGAGGAGGATCGTACCCATACAAAACCTTGAAGGGAGTCATCTGAGTGGCTGTATGATAATTAAAATTGTACCAGAACTCAGCTAAAGAGAGCCATTTGTTCCAATCACTAGGTCTATGACCATTCATGCACCTCAAGTAATTCTCTAGACATTGATTCACCCTCTCAGATTGTCCGTCTGTTTGGGGATGATATGCAGAGCTAAACTTCAATTCAGCCTTCAATCCTTTAAAGAGTTCCTTCCAGAATAGACTTAAGAACACATTATCCCTATCACTAACAATACTGGTAGGTAAGCCATGCAATTTGTAAACCTGATCCATGAAGACCCTAGCGACTTGTATAGCAGTAAAAGGATGTGCAAGAGATAAAAATGCGCATACTTGCTGAATCTGTCTACTNATGTTGTACAATTAATACATATACCCCCACAATGTCATGAGAATAGGATTATTAATTCCATATTTTAACCTTAGGAAAATTTACATTTTAGTATAAAAGATTGAAAAAAATTTATTGTTTTCCCCCATACGAGTGAAGTCAGCCTTAGACATGTTCATTGGACAGAATATTTGTGTTCATGAACTAGGACAAATCTTGGCTCTCTTACCTCTCTGGCTCCATTGTTTTTGTAGCATTAATTTAATTATAATCACTCAAGATTCATTCATTTTGCAACTATCCCTTTGTTTTGACCAGCTCATGTGATGTACCTAATTACAAGGGGCCATTCATAATAAGTTCAACCCAATTTAACTGCATGTCATATAACTTTTTATTATCCAAAATTATTCAGTTGTGATAACAAGCAAATTAAACCATATATCCAATGGTTCTCATGTTCAAACAGAAAAAGAAAGCAAGTTCAAGAAATGATAAGTCACCTTACATATATACTTCCTCCTTTCATTTTTACGTATCCTATATTAAAAATATATTTTCACTTTTACTTGTCAATTTTAGCAAATCAAGAAAAGATCATATATTTTTTTCCTATTTTACCCTTATAATTAATTACTCATTTCACAAATCATTTCCCAATACTATCATTATTATGGGTACTATGATAAAATATGCACTTTGTTCTATTATTTCTTAAGGAGTATGCTGGACAAGTAAAGTAAGGAGGGAGTACAAGAGATGAAGAAATGCTAATCATGATCAAATGATATTAAATTAGAATATCTATATTAGTCAGTTAAATTAGTATGAAGAAATTGTGACTGTTTGTTGGTCCATGAAACTTAATGGGATGTGGCTTAATTAGCTTCTTTAAAGGAAGAATAATGTAAGTCGTTAATATTTCTAAGATTAGGTCCGACAATGAACAACTGACTCATGCATTGAAATTGAATTATCCTTTTTCTGATATTATTATACTGATATTGTGAAGATTTTGTTTCACAGTCACGTTGGTTCCTGCACAAGTAAAAATGACTTCTTGTGCTGTCAACTGTCGAATTGTCTTGGACGAGAACTACATCAATATTCACATAAATGTTTTACAGATCACCTAACTACTTCCTGTCTCTTAAACATGAGGCCTTACAGTAATGTCAAAAGATAGAACTTTGCCTTGACTACTCAATATTTGTTAATTAATACAAGATAATCTTTGGTATATTTTGACGACTCCATTTTAAGTTCATGAATGTATTTCGTTTCTCTCTTTGGACTAATGATGTTTATAGATTATAGAGATAAGCAACACGTCAGCGGGAGAATAACACCAACAAACTCAGGGTAATTCCACAAGTGGGGTCTGGGGAAGGTAGAATATACGCAGACCTACCCCTACCATGTGAGGATAGAGATGTTGTTTTTTCGATAGATTCTCGGCTCAAGAAAAGATGAAAAGAATCAACATCAATAGGAAGAAGCAGTAAACAACATGATAATAGATCAACCGAAGCGAAAGAAATAAGAATATGAATAGTAAAAGAGAACTAAGCAGAAGAAAATACACCCAGAAGAAAATTTTTGGTTATGGAAGTATTTGACATATGATAAACCCAGAAGATAAGAGGCAGGGCAGATGATTTTGTTTTTATGATAGTATTGAGCATTAAAAAACTAACGACAATGTTTCCATGTTAATTGGAGTAAGTAATATGCAGTTGAGATACTTGTAAGAAAATGATTTACGCTCATATATGACAAAAAGTATAACCTCCATCTAATTTATATTTATCAAGAAAATATTCTCAATTTGAGGTGGTCAAATAGAGGCCAATAATTTTCAAGAAATATTCTTTTACGAAAAATTATTTTTACAGTCATAGCAGACACACACCCATTGTCACATCCTACTTTAACTAAGATATAGAAATTGTACCTTTATTTAGAATTGAGGCCAAATCAGTTTAGCACATAAAGTAGAGGAAGACTAATATTGTCCTCAAATTAAAATGTTGAGGAAGTAAAAACTTATTCCTTTTTTCGCTTTAGGAGTAAAAACTTGTACTCAGTAAAATAAATGAAATTGACAGGAGCGGTTTTCGTCCAGTCAAAGACACCTTAAATTTTCCTTCTGGTATGTCAAGAGTAATTTGACTTACAATTAGAGTGTTTATGTAAGTGAACCGCTATTGTTGATCCTTGGTGTGGGGTGAAAACAGAAAGACGAAGTTACTTTGTTAGTACAAAACTAAAAACATAGATCGTGTACGAGCGGACCATGCAAACACAAAAACAAAGGTACAGTCATATGCCGATCTTAATTTAATATACAATAATATGGGTTCTACAAAAATCTTAATTTAATATACAATAATAATTGGATTAACGGTCTGGGTTCCAAGCTAAATGTTCATATATATTTAATGAATTTTTCAATACAAATACTGGATCTAGACAAAAGTTACTGGGTTCACGGGAACCCGTATCTAACTCACTGGATCCGCCCTTGGGTACGGTGGATCAGTAACTTAAATAGTCGTTCACTCAATCGCTTAAATTAAAAATAATCATGTAATAATATATGTATAATTTATGTATAGTAGGTATATAATCGTATATAATATCTATGTATAAAAATAAATCGTAAATTTGATGGGCTATTTGGGTAAAGATTCCGTTATTAAAAGCCAGAGAATGCAATATGCATATAAAGCTTATCATTAACTCGCAAAAATAGTAGAGAGGGAGAGAGAATAATGCAAGGAGACAAACGAAATGACATTTACAGAGAGTGTTTAAGAAACCATGCAGCCAGCCTTGGAAGTTATGCCACTGATGGCTGCGGAGAATTCACTCTTGATGACAACAACAATAATTCCTCAGGCAGCGTAAGCTTACACTGCGCTGCTTGTGGTTGTCATCGTAACTTCCACCGTAAAGTCATTTATGGTGCTAGTTACAGCAACAATAGCAGCCGCGACCGAGAAATCATGGCAGCAGATCAGTTGACTGACTACGCCGGAGGGAGGACAGCTGAGGAATCACCGAGGAGCGGGAAGAAGAGATTTCGGACAAAGTTTACGACAGATCAGAAGGAAAAAATGCTGGCATTTGCGGAGAAATTGGGGTGGACGCTGCAAAGGAAAGATCAAGAAAATGAAACTGAAAGATTTTGCAGAGAAGTAGGGGTAAGTAGAAAGGTGTTTAAAGTATGGATGCATAATCATAAGAATAACACTTCCTCTGTATCCACTGGCAATGCATCTTCTCTTACTCAATAAGATTTTAGTAGTAATTTTTACTTCTCAAGCAGTACTAGGTTAAGTTATTCCCCCCCCCCCCCCTTGTTTTTTTTTGGTTAAATCCACTAATTAATATCCAAATCTTGTACTGCAGCACATGAGACATCTCTACCTTGTTCCTTTTTCATTTTCCTCCGATACAACTATAAGAATCATTTGATCTATTGTCTCTGAGTCGAGGGTCTCCCGGAAACAGCCTCTCTATTCCTTCGGGGTAGAGGTAAGGTCTGCGTACATTCTACCCTCCCCAGACCCCATACTAGTGGGATCCTACTAGGTTGTTGTTGTTGTTGTACAACTATAAGAATCAATGAATGTCACTGCATCTAAGTAGTGTTAGGATGGTAATGTGCACCAATAAGGATTATGGTAGAGTAATAAATACTCATTATCCTTAACTAGGGGTCTCGGATTCGAGCCCTGGACATGAAGTCGCTATTGTTAGACAACATTGTACCACCAATATGGGACTTTCTGGTGCAAATTCGAATTTAATCAGGCCCAATACTAGTACCAAATACCAGATGGAAACCCAAAAAAAGAACGGTAATGCAGGGCACGTACGGTGCAGGAATACCTTTATTCTTTCTTTAATGAGAAAATAACACACAAAAGAAAAAGGCCTTCCACTAAGTTCTAGCAAAAACTTAATTAAAGATAAGGAAATATCGATTTTTGTTTTTATTTTGCGTGTTAAACAGTCAGTTACTTGGATAGACTTGCATTTATACCTGTCTCTACAACATTTGTGGTTGGAATAAGTCACACTCGTAAAGCCCATACCTTTATTTCCATTCCTTTTTTTTGGTCGAACGAAAACTTTTTATAAATCTCTTGTCAAACTTACATCTCAATTACAATTAGTCTACTCTCTAACTATCTTCCTAACAATTATTTACCTCTCATCTATACATTTCCTTTAAAGATGTTTTCTATCCATTCCTTCTCACTGCTTGTATGGCTCCTTCTTATGGCTTCCCTTTCTCCTAACTTGCAATCTTGTTTAATCTGCTTTATTAGCTGCCCAGGTTGCACCACCTTGTGTTCCCAGAATGCTATATTTCTAGCTCTCCAAATGTGATACACAGTTGCTGATAGTGCAGCTATCACCACAGCCCTACATGCTTTCCCCTTAATCTTCCTGGTCATTCTTCTTCCCAGCCCCTGTATCTCCAGATTCCTCGTACCTATATTTAGCCACCTCTGTATGTCTTCTATACATCTCCTCGCCAGTGTAACATCTCCTCCTGTTATGCTCCAGCTGTCTTTGAAAAATTGGCTTCCATAGCCATCAGGTCCAGGGCTTTTGTCCCCTGCAATTGCCCATAATGCCTGTTTTACATCATTCACTGAGTATGGTTCCACTAGCATTTTCCTGTCTTCTTCATTCACCACTGCTCCCTGCTTCACTAAGTAACTACATACATGATCTCTATCTGCCTTACTAGTGCCTAGTAGGGATTTATAGAATTCAATGAATGTTGTAGCTACACTGTCCATGTCAGTAACAATAGTGCCATCAGCTCCCTTTATAGAGAAGATCCTATTGTTGTTTCTCCTTGCTTTGATGCTATTGTGGAAGTATCTTGTATTGTAATCCCCATGTTCTGCCCAAGTTATCTTACTCTTTTGCCTTAAGTATTGATATCTAGCTTCTTCCCATCTGCTATACTCCTTTGCTAGTTCCCTTTCTTTCTTGTGTAACTCATGATCCCTAGGATTTTCCTGGATCTTAACTTGACAGTCAGTAAGATCCTTCTTTGCTTGGTCTGTTTTCCTTTCTCTTCAGTGAATC